GTCTGACGCGTCTGCCTCCGCGACCCGAAAGGAGAAGCGGCGATGGAAGATGAAGAAGATGAAGAAGGTTTTGGACGCATTCATAACACGTGCCCAAACTATCGTAGCTATGACTTTTCAATCTGAAGACGCAGCGGCTGTGCATTAAGGCTCTCGCGGATTTCTATACTCCGGACCAAATCGCGAAATGAACTCGTCTCAGAAAGCCCATTTCAGCCGCTTGTAACCGGGATAGAAGTTTTTCAATCATGGCCCACAGTTCATGTAATTGTCAGTCATGGCCCACAGAATTTGTAATCATGTGGATCAAGATTGACTTGAATACCGAGAGCTTCTCATACTGAGTTCCGCTTTAGTCACATGTTTGACGTAATTAGCGTACTCATAAAAAAATGCGTTTATGGATAAACTGATATTTTAATTTTATATTGTGATCGTAAACTCATGTTTCAAACTCAAGTTTGCCCACCACCCACCCAGGAAGACTTATCGTCAAAGGTTAAACCGCAGACGAGCCGACGTTTATCACTATCATCATCATCATCTTCCATCCCCGCTGCTCCTTTCGGGTTGCGGAGGCAGACACGTTAGACAGAGCTTCCAGCGTTCTCGATCCTGTGCCGGAGTCTGAGCTTCGGCAGAAGACAACTGGAGATTGGAACGGACTCCTTCCATATTTGCATCAGGTTAATCTTGACTTTTTCCTGGACCTTCAGCCGGTCAGATTTGCAAGAAACAGTTGCTTAGCCTTCCTTTCTGGAGACATTCGCAACACATACCCAAGCCATCGCAGCTGTGACTTCTCAATCTGGAGAAAGAAAGGATGTATTCCGAGGCTCTTCCGGATATCAGTATTCCGGACCATGTCGAGAAGCTTAAGGCCAGCGACTCGTCTAAAAAAGCCCATTTCAGCAGCAGCATTGTACCCGGGTTCGAAGTTTTCCAGTGATGGCCCACGATTCATGACCGTAGGTAAGTATGGGGATAAAGATCGACTTGAATATCGAGAGCTTCAATTTCGGACTCAGCTCTGCTTTAGTCACAGTGGGTCGGGCAAGTTCAGCAGAACGCCACTGGCTACTCAAATCCGCCAGTCGATGTCTTCCTTAAATTTTCCATCACTAGTGAATAGGACTCCGGACACGAACTTTTTTACCTGCTGCACTGCCTCTCCGTTAATCTGAAAAAGGCAACGGGTAGGAGAAAATTACCACGCTTTTCATGCTAGATGCGTTCACACGCATGCCGGCCAGGTCGACCCGACTGCGAGCCTTCCCAGAGAGCGTTTTTGCGACACTGCTTCCTGGTATTTTTGGTAGCACTACGTTATACGATTCAATTGTCTGTGATTGCTTCAGCATTCCGACCCTACGATGATTCAAATATCAAAAATACAATATAGGTAGGCTATTCCATAGGTGCTTTCGTAAAAAGTGAATTGCAAAATTCCC